CAGCCAGTTGCTTGCTGATAACAAAGGGAAATAACGAAACAAGTCAAAAGAAAATGGCCTGCCAAAAAGATGGCGGCAGCTCTAATATAAACGAAAATTGATTATCCTGGATTCGCTGGGGATGGAGTTTTCGGATCCAGGGGGTTGGCATACTAAAACATATTGTTGGCATTGGTGTGTGCTTGTATTTTCGAGACGTTTATAAATGAATGTAGGCATTTTGAGTTGACAGGCACGAAAATTAAAAGAAAAATGAGCTTTTTTTTCCGCTCGAGTTGTGTGGCAGCCAAACCCACCCACCACCCACCACCCACCGCCCACTGCCAACACCACCACAAAGGCCAGAACCGATGGCTGCTGCTAATCTGCCACAAACCGCGCACCACCACCCCCCCTCCCAATGCCCATCAGCCAGCGGCTGCCTTTCAAACAAACTTTGACACGCACACGAACTTTTATTATTAACCGTGGGGGAGGTGGAGAAGTCATGCCTTTGAGGGGGCCAAACTCGTCTGGGCTTCTGAGACTGGGTCGTGCCGCCTTTTCTGGACGGAATGGGACCACGACTACTGCGCCTTTGGGTCGCAAGGGGCGGCGGGGAGGCAGGGAGGCAGGGCAGGGCAGATACGATACCGAATCCAAATCCGAGGCAGTGGCAGTGGCAGTAAAAGTAGCTGCCACCGCGCGTCGCGTCGCCTCGCATGCAACATTTTTCTTTTGAAAAATGAACGAAACATGATTCGCCAAAATAGCAAGAGCCAAACACACAAACTCACAGAAACGTATATATAAATAATATATGTATAGAGAAAGAAGTGCTATGTACACCATATGGTATGGAACTTGAGTTCCGGTGGGGCAGCAAACGGGGAGGTACGTGCTGCAAGGTCTCAACTTTGGCCTACGAGTTGTACATGGGCTGATCAAAAACCTTTTTGCGAAGCGGATACAGTGAAGGAGTCAGTGGAGGGGTTATAGTTTAAAAAACCTTTTCAAAAATAACCTTTTCTGACTCCAAAAAATATCGATATTTTTGACTCCAATTGTAAAGGAGAATACCATATGTGCGCTAAAGTTTGAGACGGCCATACTAAAATGACTAATCAAAAACTGTACTTGGTATCGATATCCTTTTTCCGAGTCCAAGCAGAAAGCCGTGCACTTTGTCAAAGTAAAAAGTTTTTAATATTTTTAAAAATTACATTTCAAAGTGTGCAATTAGAAGCCTTGAAAGTTACTCAGGTTTTAAGACGTGTGGTTATGGAACTTCTTGAATCTCAACTTCATCTCTTGAACTTCAAAAGAATCTCAACTAGTAAGTTACCTTCATATCGGTGCCAGTGACTATAATGATGCCATTTTAAAGTTTAAGGGCTTAGATTGCTATCCCCTTCCGGCTGAGCCGCTGTGTTTGCCCTCCTCCTCCTCCTGAGCACTTCCTGCCTCATCCCCCGTTGAACTGGCTCATTGAGCTGGGAATCGTCGTCAACGGAGGAGGAGGAGGAAAAGTAGCTGCTATGCTTCCCCTCGAGAACGGAGAGTCGCAAATCGCTGGCCACCATTTTGTGTGCCATGGGAATAAGGGATAGAAGTGGCGGAGGTGGGGGGCAGCAGCAGCACAGCAGCCACCATATTGGATATGTTTCCTATGCACGAGCATTAATGCTGCCTGGTATTGATTGCTTCTCGTTTGGCCATTTATTAAAAATCCATTGATGCGCACCCAAATCCGATAGATAGATTCATATCGCATTCACACGCACACTCGCCATTGTTTGGGACCGGGTTCGGGCCTCGATCTCGGATTTGTGCGTATCCAAATTCCCCACGGATCGGATCGAACCGAAAACGATTTTCTAAAGTCCGCAGCCTTTGGCGGCAATTTATTCCATTGTTCGCCCTCCCAAATAAAACGACTAAAATGAAAGTCATTTTTCGGTTGCTGTTTCAGTAAATGGTATTTCATTGCCTAAACTATTGAAGGGAGTTTTAAAGGAAAATGCATAAATTCCATCGTCCGCACGTTCAGGTGAGTTTAGACCCGTTGTCTCTGACTTTTCACAAGTTATTCATCGTTCATCGTTCATTTCGAGCCTTCGAAATGAAGTCGTAACCATGCGACGGAGACATTTTCCGGGCATTGTCCTGTCAAGGTTGCCGTGTCATGGGGGCATGTGTGCTGCCCATTGCCCTGCTAGGATCTGAAATCATGGCAATTAAGTTGCAAGTAGCACTCGGTTACTCTTTCGTCTCGCCTTTTGTCGCCTGTCCCCTCCAATCAGCTTCGTTTGTTTTCAACAGTTCTGATTTTCTATATCTATCTGTATGTTTTATGTTATATGTACATACAGATGTACATCTCCCAATGAATCACAAATCTGATTACATTCGTTGCCTTTCAATTCGATTGCGTTTGTTCTTTTTCCAACTTTTTGTTGTTTGCTTATTTATTTTTTTTTTTGTATTTAGCTTCTCAGATCGTTGACAACTTTTGGAGCATGACTTGGCCAGAAGTTGTGCGTGGTATCGCCGAGAAATGCTCTTATTCTCAATTATGTTATAGATATTTCGGTTTTGATTTCTGTTTTCGGTGGCTTAAATTCCATTATGCAATCAGTTAGGCCGCTCTCGTTGCTGCCAAGCTACGCAAGTTTATTGACCACTGGTTATTGTAGACGGGATTTTTTGTGGGAACTTGAAACTAAATTCTATTAAGTTTTTGAAAGGCTCCAGAGACACGTTCGTCGAATTCTTCGGTAGTTAGTCTTAGAGATTGGAAAGAAACCGTTAAAGAACTGGGTTTTAAGAATGTCCAATCTGAAGTGATTTCCTATCTGTTACAAGCATAGTTACGATCCCAAGAGCATCTGCTAGAAATGGATCATTTAATTGAAGTTAGCTGTGTCCTTTTCCTGGTTTTTCTTCATAAGATATGGAAACTGGAGTTATTACTCATTTTCCCGCCCATCAATTGGCACATCTGGTGCAGTGGTGCCGATGGCGGCGGCGCACCTATTGAGGATCCCTATTCCTCATCTTTTTTATCTGTCTGGTGGCCTTCCTTGACCCGCCTCTTCCACTCTGCGCCCTGCTGTGGTCTGGAAAAGCGAGGGAGTGCTGGTGAAGAGTGGCCAGAGGAGACGGTGCGGACCGTAGAAATTGTTCAAATTCTACGTGGTCAGCATTACGCTACAAATTTACAATATGAGAGAAAAAATAAAAGGGAAAATTTACATGCTGACAAAATAACAAACAGACAGGGTAGAGGGGCAGCGGCGGTATAGGTGCGAGGGGCTGCAGTCCTGACCGGCTTTATTTTTGGTCTGGTCTAGTCTGGCCTGGTCAACGAATTTTTTTGCTGCATAATCGTATCACTTTCAAGTGTTTTCGCGTTGCGCAACCCCAGCCGGCACCTTTCTATGTCTCAGTATTGCCAAAACTAACTGAGAATTGCATAATAACGATAGACATAAGTTCGACGTTTAATTAGCCAGTGGTAGTGTGGTTAAACTATACTTGACCCATTGAGTACTCATGTGACTTTAAGGATTATGAAAGTTTCTCATTTTCAACGCTTGTTACCCTACTCCAATTCATTTTCCAATGTTGTGCTATTCAAATGAGGCTATTCAAATGAGCAGCCAGCGAACTCATTCATAAGCTTCATTCAGCTTCTTCGGATTTTGTGGCAACTCATTAACAACAAAAAGTGGCGTAAAGTACAGATAATGTTGCCCACCGCCATCTATATACATGTCGGTTAACAATAGTGGTGCCCCCTTCTTGCCTAAAATCTGACTTGGCTTCTTTTAGCAATTTCATTGTTGACACTATCCGCTGCCGCGGATCTGTCCTGTCATAATTGTTGCTCACTGGTTTTCTGTAACAGCATTTGCTCCTCTTTCGAGGATAGTGAAAAGTCATTGGTGAATTTGAGTTCAATACCAGTAGACCTGCAGAAATACAAGTATTTTCATTGCCGCGATGCATTCGTGAAAACTGTACCTGTGTTGGACATTAAAGTGTTGGAAAACGGTTTGTAGAGCAACATCTGGAACAACAAGTCCTGATGGCGAACTTTCTGTCTAGAGAAAGCAAATGTAGTTTTAAATTTAAATATGCTTTGTTACCAAAAATGTTTTAAAACAGCTTTTGATTGTCTTTCACCGGATACGACCCTGCTTCTCTCTAAACCCCCTCTAATATCCCACCATTATTTTCTCAATCAGCATCGGCTTCTTTATTATTGTTTCTTTTTTTTGCGCCGGCAACAATTTAAACTAATTAAGTTGTAATAAAGCACTCAAGAAAACGCTCAAAAAAAACATTGAAGAGAAGAAAAAAAAATGATTAACCAGGCGAGTTTTGCTTGTTCAATATTTCTGTGCTCTTTTTCCTACTGTTTTCTAGCAGCGATGAAAAAAATTATACAAGCATCCAATCGAAATGCCCCCTCCTCACCTTGTTGATGATGCTGCTAATTTTTTAAGACCGAACCCCGAGCATCCAACCAACCAATTTGACTTTTTTTCTCTATTTGCTGTATTTTTGGTATTTTTGAAGTTCACCAAAAACGTTTTTTTTTTTGGCTCTATGGTCTTTGCCGGGTCTATTAGTTCAGTGGCCCATTAATGTGCATATTGCCTGCTCTTTTTCCGACTCTCTTTTGGGTGATTCCATGATTGCGGTAATTGTGTTAATTTTTTGGGTAAATAAGTGTGTATTTTTATTGGGCTGCGAGCTGGAAATCGTGCCGCTTTAAAGGCTGTGCATTTAGTTGAAAGGTATTGGGGTCAGTTTAAAATTGCACTAAATTGTGTCATATGCAGGAATACGTGCCTTAACACAATTTGCATGTTCATGGAACTAAAGTAATATCTTCAATATGTCGTTATTTAATGGCATTTTGTACACACAAATCAAGATATCGTTGGGAAACATTTACCCAAGCTCCATTTTTCAAAGCAGTTCGTCATTTAGTATATCACAAAGCGAGTAAATCAACGTCGTCTACAGTTGCCTATATTTTATAAATAAATTGTTGAAACTTTTGAAAATTTAGATATTACCTAAGGAAAATGGCAGAATCAGACTCGGGAGAAAGTACGTCGTCGGTGTCCTCATTTATATCCCGCTCATCGTCGTCTTCGCGATTGAGTGAGTTTGTGGACGCCAAGACGGAGCTGCAGGATATATATCACGATTTGAGTAACTACCTGTCCAGTTTTCTAACCCTTTTGGAGGAGAGTGTCCTTTTGAAAGATCGGCAAGTGCTGAAGCACCTGTGCGCCTTCTCCAGCAGAGTGGAGGCCATTGCAAAGGTTCTTTCGCGTGATCGCATGAAGGTGGCATTTTTTGGACGCACCTCAAACGGAAAAAGTGCCGTGATCAATGCACTGTTGCACGAAAAAATCCTGCCCAGCGCCATGGGCCACACCACCAGTTGCTTTTGCCAAGTGCAGGCTAATGGCACAGATGAAACCGAGCACGTAAAGGTCGAGCAGGAGGAGCAGCACATGGAGCTGAGTGCCCTAAAGGAACTGGCCAGTGCGCATTCTCTAAGAGCCCTGAAACCCTCGACTCTACTGCATGTGAATATGGCCAAGAACCGCTGCTCGATCCTGGATTACGATGTGGTTCTGATGGATACACCTGGAGTGGATGTAACAGCGCAACTGGACGACTGCCTGGACAGCTACTGCATGGATGCGGATGTTTTCATCCTGGTTCTCAACGCTGAGTCCACTATTTCGCGCGTGGAACGCCAGTTCTTCAAGGATGTGGCCTCCAAACTTTCGAGTCCAAATCTCTTCATACTCAACAATCGATGGGATAAGGCCAGCAGTATGGAGCCGGAAATGGAGCAGATGGTAAAGGATCAGCACACGGAGCGCTGCGTTAATCTCCTGGTAGATGAGTTGGGTGTTTATGCCAATGCGCAGGAAGCCTCGGAAAGGATCTATCATGTCTCAGCATTGGAGGCCTTGCATATAAGGAATGGTCACAATAAGAATCCCACGGCACAAACACAAGAGCGATACCTTGAGTTTCTGCGATTTGAAAATGATTTTTTGCATTGCCTCGCAGAGTCTGCGAGGAAAACCAAGTTTGGGCCACACTTGCAAAGTGCCCAGAGTATTTTAACCCAGTTAAAGTCCACTCTGATAGGCCCTTCCATAGAAAAAGTAAGTCGTCTTATAGAGGAGAATAAGGAGATGAGAGCCAACTTAAATACGGAAATGGACGACTGGGTAATACTAATGCAAGAGGATAGAGAAGAGCTTCAAATTTGGGCTGAAAGACTGACTGAAATGACCCAACGTGTAGGGCAGTGCGTTTTAAACGACCAGATCAGCACATTAATACCCTCGACTGTCTTGTCCTTCTCCCACCCGTTTCACCCAGAGCTCCCAGCACAAATTGGCCTCTACCAACGCTCTCTAAGTGCCCATTTGGATGATCTTCTGGAAGATCGAGTCCTGCAATGTCTCTCCATGCCGCTGGAGGAAAAACTAATCCAAATGGAGGATGAAATGGCACTGCAGATCACCGAGAAAAATTACAACTGGCAACTAATCTACAACGTGGATTGCCAATCCTATATGGGCGACTTTCAGCCAGATCTTAGGTTTCAGTTTTCCCTGGGTTTTACTGCCCTATGGCATCGTCTTGAAGGAAATATACCACTGCACGCAAGTCCATACCGAATGCAAAAGTTGCCCAATGGCCACAAGAAAAGTTTGCCCCTGCCACCTTTAGTACACGATAACCATTGGCAGATGGTGGAATCCTTGATCAAGTCCAAAGGTAGCCTTGGAACCGTATTGCTGAGCGCCCTGGCCATCCGTTCGTTCAACTGGCCAATCGTTTTGATCCTTGGTGGCCTCGTCGGATCCTATTACCTGTACGAGTACGCCGCTTGGACGACAGCCGCCCAAGAGCGGAGTTTCAAGTGCCAGTACTCCAGGTTGTTGCAACAACGTCTGCGGGCGGATGTGCAGCAAACCGTCAACGGGTTTGAGTTTCAGTTGCGACAGCACCTGACAAAAGTCCGAAATTGCTGGGAGGCCAAGTCCAAAGAAGTTCTGAATGACCTGGACGCGAGTACCGCCAAGCTGACCAAGCAAACAAAGTCGATGGAGGTGTTGCAGCTGAACCTAAAGAAGTTTCGGGACAAGGGACAGCTGCTGGAAAGTCGATTGGAAGAGTTTCGAGAGATCTACTTGAGCAAGGGCTGTCAGTTATGAGGGTATTGAATTGTTGAATTCCAAACGTTTTTAAAAGTTCTAATTTGTTTCTTTTTTGGTTACCTAATTTACCTATTTATCAATTGTAACTCCGTTCCTTAACTTAGAAATTTATCTGTTGTTGTTTGGTTATTGTAAAACATTAAACGATTGAGCTCTACCGTTTTAAAGTTACTTCGTACCATCAGAGTCTTAGCCATGAAAATTTAAGCAGTTTTTACTGCTGTTGACTGTTTAAATTACTTGATTAGATTGTTTTTCCTTCCTCCTAATGGCTCACACACACACACACACACACACACACTTTCTGGCAGAGGAACATGCACAAGCTGGGAATAAGAACGAGAGAACCAGTTTTGGCTCTTTTTTGTATTGTAGAAAACATCGGGCTTAAACAAAGCGTCCATGTTGGAGCGGCCAAAAGCAAAAGTACAACAGATACAAACAGGCCAAGCTGAACTCTAAGCTCCGCCCCTTGCTCACACACACACACCCACATGCACACACACGCAAGCAGTGCGAGTGCGCATGAACAAAGGCAGCTCAAAACGGGGAGGAAATGCATACGGTGGTCTCACTCGCACTCACGCTCTGTGGTCGAGCTGAGAGCGCCATTTCTCTTGCGCCACTGCCGACGTCGACGTCGACAGCGACAGCGATGGCGATGGCGGAGCTGCGACCGCGGCAGAGGCTTGAGCAGCGTTTTAGAATCGTATTTGAATTTTTATAAACGCTCGAGAAACGTTGGACGCTTGACGCGCGCGCAGAAAACCGCATAAGGGTATAAATATATGTGGATGGACATTAACGCCACCGAATTCGTGGGCGTGGACAAGCAAAAAAGGACTCTGCTCCGGCGAAAATTCGTTAACAACTCTGTGAGCCCGGCAAGGTGACGCGGCATTCCGGATCGACAGTTCAAATCGCTCGTTCTGGCCAAGTCAAGTGTTTCGGCTCTTTTTATGCTATGCCAATTAGATGATTTGAACATATTCTGTTCGACTCTAAAAATCATCATCATCAAACTGTGTCACACATTAACAAATTTGTAAACTATTACGCGTCTGCGTTTGTGCAAAAGATATAAAAAATAAAAGTGAAAGTTACCAAATCAAAAATACATACCAAGCTCCCCATACTCCAGTGACCATTGTGCGATTCTAAAAAAAAGCCCCTTACAATAATCAAAGGCATTGCAAAATAACTTAAACCCATTTTCCACACACACAGTCGAATTGTGCAAAGCACAAACAAAAAAAATCAAAAATAAAGACAACACAATACAACGTCTGTCTGCAACGGAAACGGCAATATCGAAGTTGCGATTGGATTGCTTTTGCTTTGGCTGCTTTTAGTCGGCACGCCATTGTTGATTCTGCAACATTTTGGCTGTCAAAACGTTACATAATTGTCAAAGTGTTTGCCCAAATATCAACAACAATCAGCGCTTTATTGCAGCGATTTGTATTCAATCTATTCACAAAAGCCAACTACAAACTTTGCGACAATCAGCGTCGAAAAAACTAAAACACTCAAGACACATTTGACTTTGGCTCTACAGACGTTTGTGTTTCTTGGATTATAAACACGAATAGTTCACAGATATCAACTGCGTCATCATTGCAGCATCCCTTGAACTAATAAAGGTTCGTAATGGCTCACTCTTTTTTCGATCATATTACCAAATGTAGGGCTTTAGTTTGAGCGTATATCGCAAAGACTTGGCGCCCAACGTGGGGCATTTGTGTTAGAATGGTTATAGTTGGTTGAAAATGGGGATTTCGATTCTGGTAAAAGTAAAAATATATAAAATAAAAACTAGAATAAAGCATTGTTTAAATATATTTTATTAGCTTCCATTATAATAGCTCAATCCAGCCCTTATTTTACTCATTTCGTTCTATTTCAAACAACAATTTCCCCCAAAACTGTTTTTTGTTTGTTTTCAATCGCTGCCTTAAGCACAATTATTGGGACAAGTCAAGCCTTATTTACCCCTTCGATTAGGCTTATAATCTGTACAAACATAGGAAAGAGTACCGCCCAATACCACCCCAAAATTCACTCGTTGTCACCCCTGTGAAAATATCAAGTAGCCGTCGGTGTTTAGTGCTCAATCAACCCCATTAGCGGCTCCATTACGGAACGCTCCCACAGTATTTCTTACTTCCTTCCGAGCAAACTTCCTGAAAGGTAACCGAAAATTGAAGTACCCACTCCCATGCCAATATGGTCAAACAATGCTTGGCCCCATCAACGCCTTCTGTGAGCCTTGTCGCCTAATTGCTGGTGACAGTTGGCAGTTGCTCCTGACCAACCGGACGACAAAACAAAGACCAGCACACGAACCCGAATCTACTAATATTTTCGTTGTCGTTTCGGCCACAATGCGAGCTGGAAACCCACGAAACCGAGGGGCAAACAATCAGCCCAAAGACCAAAAGCGATAAGTAAACAATTCAAAACCCACACGAACGCATTCCAAAATTAACGGACCACGAATTGTAACCAAAAAAAAAAAAACGAAGTTAAGCAAAGAAGGGAGAACCCTAAAATAACAGGCTATAAGCCAGCAAGCCGAAAAAAAACATGGCCAGAACAGAAGAGAACAGAACGAGCCCAAAATGGTTGCGATGGAAATTGGAAAAGCTGGCGGGGGAATGAGTTGTTTTGTAACCAATCGTAAGAATAACAAAGCATTTGGTAGAATTGTGTTGGCCGGGCCCAAAAGAACCACCAAACTGTTCCATCTGTGATGTTTATTCTAATTTTTTGACCCGACTCAAGTGCCCCGGTGGGTAAAGGTCGTCGTCGTCACACCACTTGAGTCTCTACTCTCCTCTCCTGCCTCTCGACCAAGTTGCGCCCTCATTTTAGCCTTTTATTTCGGGTTTTCGTTTTGGCTTTATCTAGATGTTTGCCCACCTCGGGTTCTCTAGGTTTCCCTCTTCGTGGAACTCGAGTCGATGTTAAGTAGTAATTTTCTGATAATATCCAATACCCCCACTCAGTTCTCGACTCTTTGCTTTTCCCGAGAATTTCCAATGCAAATATTTGGCTGCCATCAATATTTGACCAGGAATCAATTGTCTGCGAGTCAATTGTAAGCGATACACTTGAGGGAAGCTTTCTCATTGTTGTGCCCCGAGTTTAGTTTGTGTTTAGTTTCGATATCTGGGAGCTGTCAAAACTGATCATCAATTAAGCGGAGATGGGGGTGAGACTGCAGGGAGCTTGGGAAATCGTTCAGTTATTGCAATATTTTTCAGCTGCTTCCGTCAGACGGTTTTGAGTGAAGCAGATCTCTCAAAGATCACGTTTTTATGATTATGATTAATGATCGCCGCTCGCCGCTCGCCGTTCGCCGTTCGAGTGACTCTAGTTACTGTCCACTCTGTGATCTCTCCGCTGATCCTACGACCTCAGTCTCAGTCTCCCACAGGAAAGTGCTACTGTTTGGGACGCTCCTTGGCTACCTACTCTCCTGCCCCCCACAGATTTGAACCTTCAAACTGTTTTTGTAGCAGAAAATTGATCACTCTCTGGGGAGTTTGCAGGCAAAGTGGTCGGGTATGATAAGGGATCCTGCTATTTCATTCAAATGATCAAAATATTTTCCTATATTTTCCACGCTTTGATATGGTCACAAAGATATTAGCTCTGGGGAAACTTCACTCCAAAGGGAATACAGCTTATTTATTATAAATATTGTGGGCGATCAAAAGATTGAATTCTTCTAATTCTTGGTAGGGTAAGGTAAACAACAATATACGCACCATTTTGACCAGAACTAAGAGCAAATCATAAGGAGTTGGATTATATTTTTAAATACCCCATTCTTTTTTATTCAGGTGAATACATACGCTTGCCGCTGGATGAGTTGTTGAACGACGTACTCAAACTCTCAGAATTTCCACTCGAAGACGAGGTAAGTTCGATCGTTAATGGCTAAGAAACTCCCTTATCGACTTCTCCCCAACCCACTAGTTATCCAACGATCCGGTGGCCTCCACTTCGCAGGCAGCAGCCGCTTTCAACGAGAATCAAGCTCAGCGTACTGTTTCGGAGACCGGTGAGGATTTCCTCAGTGGCGAAGGAATTTCCAGCAAGCAACGTAGGATCGGGGCGGAGAACAAGGACAACGAATCGGAGAGGACTGACGGCGATAGCTTCTCGGTGAGCGACTTCGAGGATCTGCAAAACTCTGTGGGTTCGCCCCTGTTTGACTTAGATGAGGACGCCAAGAAGGAACTAGACGAGATGTTGCAATCAACGGCTCCGCCATACCACCATCCCCATCCGCATCCGCATCACGGCCACCCTCATGCTCATCCCCATAGCCACCACCATGCGTCGATGCACCACGCCCATGCCCATCATGCCGCCGCTGCAGCTGCCGCCCACCAGCGTGCGGTGCAGCAGGCCAACTATGGTGGTGGAGTCGGTGTGGGCGTGGGCGTTGGCGTCGGCGTCGGAGTGGGCGTGGGCAGCGGCACGGGCAGCGCCTTCCAGCGGCAGCCAGCTGCCGGCGGATTCCATCATGGCCATCACCAGGTATGTGTGCATCGATCGTAATCCTCCCCACAGACAAAAAGGTATATTTATTTATAATTTGATGCGGATGCTCGGTTCAAGTGCTGCCATCCGTCGAGCGCTCCACATACTTACATGCATACACATGTATGTACATAGCCAGAGGAGCGTGAGTGTATGTACAGCTGCGGTCGAAATAATAGGGATTTCATATAAAGTCTTAGGTTCTAAAGCAAACATTTTAGATAATTTATTTGTGCAAAGATTCATTTTGGGGGCAGTTAGAAATGTATTTTTTTGTACTATCATTGCAGTTTACAGACGGCTCAAATGGGAGTAAAACTTAATATATTTTGCATGATTTTAAAAGTAAATTTAAACCATGTGACTCATATGTCGACCTTAGTTGTACGTGCTGCTGGTGTATACATATGTATTCATTTAAGGATCATTTGCACGTCGCTTTCGTTATTCTCGGGCTGCTTCTCGTTCTGGAGTGGCTCTTTTCACTGTTCGGTTTTTTATTTAATTTTTTTTTTCGTTCTTCGTGATCTGCCTTCCATTTCTTCTGGCTCTTCACGTGGCTTGGCCTCGTCTCCCGACCTCCTTCTGCCCCATGGGGTGTTCTGAAGCACTTGATCTTGGGGCTGCTCTCTTGAAGAGGAGCTGTGTTGTTGCTGTTTGTACAAAGCTTCAAATCTGGTTGTACATGCTCCCCACCTGGCCTCCAATGTCTCTCCTGGCCCAAAAGTCAAACGCTTTTATTCCGCTTCCAGCCACAAGTTCGTCAATCAGGTTCCCAGTCTTTGGGGCTTCTCTCCCCTGCACTCTTCAAACTTGGCCAGCATTTCGGCCGTTTCTTGTCGGACGAATTCTTGTGTTATTATTTTTTGGCCTTTGTTGTAAACGCGCATCGAAAATGGACGGCAAGAGCTACAAAATTATGGAAGTGAG